AAATCCAATGATCAGTATGAGAAACCTGAAAAAATCTAGGTAATTTGGAAATTCAGAAACTCAGAAAATCAGAAAATCTGAAATTCGAAAAATCAGAAATTCAGAAATTCAAACATTCAAAAATTCCAAATTCCGAAAATCCGAAATTTAAAAAAAAACGAGAAAGTAGAAATTCAGAATTTTAGAAAATTCTGGAACTTTGAGTAATTCTGAAGTTTGAAGAATCCTTAATATTAAAAAAAAATACGAACTCCTAAATTTTGGAAAACTCTGGAATTTCGAAAAAGATCTGAAAATTCGGAATTTTCAGAATCCTGGACCTAGGAAGTTTTGAAAAAAAAATCAACAATTCCTGTACTTCCGAAAGTTTGGAATTTTTGAAAAAATCCATAGTTTTAAAAGAAAAACATTCGGCCATTTCCAAACTACCTATAATAATTTTCCATAATTATGAATTCAATTTTTTACAGTTTTTTGTTCCCAAAAACAAACGTCCTCCAATAATTCCTAGATTTCCATGTGTTGCCCCTCAGGATTAATTTATCTGTAAATTAATTTTTTAAAAACATTTTTTAAATTTCAAAATATGTTCAAAGATTGTCCCGGTCTAGACAATTGGCTACAAAAATGAAAAAAATTCAAAAACAAAAAAAAAATCGAAAATTGGACTTATTGAACCCCTCAACCAGCATGACAGACATGTGATTAAAAACTTGTGAATTAGAGATTGAGAGAAATCAGAGAGTTAAAAAAAATTTCCTTTGATCAAAAATCAATTATCCTTTTTTGTAAAGTCTTTGAAAAAAATCAAATATTGAAATATTACACAAAAAAATAGGAATTCTACAAATTTCAACTTTCAGGGATGCACCAAGGCTGTGCCACGACCGGACGCTGCATTCTGAAAAGTGTACTTCTGAGATAGGTAGAGCACGGCGGCTCTAGTAATTTCTGGGTAGCTGAGCTTAGTTTCGAAAGGACGGCCGGATTGGTCCTCGGCAACCAATCCACGGCCTCGGCCGCGGCTGCGTTTTGCACAGCCTTAATTTTCAGCCAAAAAAAGATACAGAATTTTTTTGTACATGATGTTAAAGAAAACGGCAACAAAAAACAGTGTTGACTGTTCGGAAAAGGGCATTTTTATTCGATTTTAATCCGTTTCAAACGACCATTTTGATCCTCCTCTTTCCCTCCATTTTTTGGAATAAATTATTTTTGAAATTTGGGAAAAAAATTGGGTTTAAGTTTTTTAAAATTAATATTGCAAGATTTCAAAAAATTTTTTACAAATTTTGAATATTTTTAAAAAGAAAAATTTTCATTTTCAAACAGGGAACAATTTTTTGAAAAAAAACAAAAATATCAATTTTGTACCGAAAAAAATGTTTACATAATCTTTTGTAATCTGTCATTTTATATAATAATTTTGCATACATTTTTTTATAAAGTTTTTGAATTTTGTAGGCAAAACTTGGAACATTTTTACGTGCATAAGTTAAATGTTAAAGGTGGAAGGACATGAAAAAAATAATTTTCTCAAAATTCCGTTTAGATATGCCCCTCGAGGTGTTGAACTCGTCGAGGCAAGGATTGAAAGTGCGGCGCCGTTACCGACTGAGCCACCCGGACGAAACTGGAGCAGGCGCCCGGTGGTAAACATAAGGGTGAAGACGACAGCTGTACGCAGAGTGACATTAAGCGTTGTGCACCATTACGGTAGAATGCATACTCTGGCTCCAAAAATCCACGTAGAATCTTTTGTCCCCCCCACCTTTAAAATGAAAAAATTGAACATCGGAAATCCCGGGAAATTTGAAACTAAAAACTTTGCTGTGTGTTATTTAAAACTTCAAAACATTCAAAATATTCAGAATTCGGAGATTCAGAGATTCAAAAACTTAAAAATTTCAGACGTTCATAAGTTCGAGTAAATTCGAAATATTTTAAAATTTTAAAACCAACTAGAAGAAAGGAAGTTTTAAAAAATTATAAATATCCAGAAAGTTTGATTTCTAAAAAATTTGACTTACTGTATTTCCTCTAATAGAAGCCCACCTCTATTTGAAGACCACCTCTAATAGAAGCCCACCCTGACTGTGCATCTTTCTTTTCGTTTAGTGCAGGCAAACCCTTTTTTGTTTATTTTTCTGTTAATTCCCGTTAGTTCTTGCCGTTTCATAACTATTCCAGTCCATTCCAGTGGAATGGTCCGTCGCAAGAACCTCCCAATTGAGTACAGTTAAAAACCGAAAACCCTATAATTTGAGCGTTTTTTTTCTAAAATTAGTCCACCTCCAGAAGGAGGTTGAAAAATAAAAGCTCATGGGCCTCTATTAGAGGAAATACGGTAATTCGATAAAAATTAATTTAACGAATTTTTTTACGAAATTGAATTCTGATGACATTTTCAGAACCATTTCAAAAAATTTTGATCTTCTGATTTATTTCTATTGCCAGACAGTCTGTACTAGTCATCTGGTTTCAAGCGTTTCGTCTATGAACTTCCTGGTCGCAAAACTACGAAAATTTTTGGAAACTTGAAAGTGAAGTTTTGGTTTTTTGAATTTTCGAATTCAACATTTTAAAATTTCGGAGAATTGCATAAAGTGAAAGAATTTCGAAATTAAACAATAATTCTAATTGTAAGAGTCAAAAAAAGGTTTTTGAAAAAAAGGAAATATGAAAGACTTATAGGGTAGCTCGTCGTAAAATTCGGGGGGTACAATGATTCGGGGGTACAAGGGGGTACAACTGATTTAGGGGTACAAAATTGGTGATTCGGGGGTACAATATTCGTGGATACAAAAATTCGGGGGTACAACGATTCGGGGGTACAAACTATCAATGATTCTGGGGTACAACCCATTTCATTTAGGGGTACAACGCTTGTGATTCGGGGGTACAATTTTTTTGAGGGAGTTTCTGAATTCCTGAATTTCAGAGCTTGAAAATCTCAGAATTCTTAGAATTTCAGAACTTTGGAATTCCAGTATTTCGGAATCTGAAAATTTCGGAACTTCAAAATCTGAGAATTTGAGAATTTCAGAACTTCAGAATCTGAGAATTTCAGAATTTCAGAACTCCAGAATTTCAATATTTCGGAATCTGGAAATTTCGGATCTTCAGAATCTGAGAATCTGAGAATTTCCGAATTTCAGAACTTCAAAATCTCAAAGTTTCAGAACGTCAGAATCTCAGTATTTCGCAATTTCTGAATTTCCAAAAATTACGACAAAAGTTTTTCACTTCTCATTGTCACATTGTCCTTTCTGATTTTTTATCATATTTTTCACTCTTCATGAAAAAAAAAAAAATGTTGGGATCGGCTGAAAGGCAGGAAATTTTTTTTTTAATTTTTAAGTCTCGAAATTTCCGGAAAGCATACAATGGAGAACTGTAAAACATACTTGCAAAATCAGGGCCCGGCCTGGGCCCGTGACTCCTTGGCCCGGCCCGGCCAGGGCCCGGGTTCTCCAAATTTGAATTTTTTTTGGAATCTCAGTCATTTTTTCGAAATTTTTTTTGAAAAAATCATGTTTTATGGACACTCTTATTTAGAAAAATTTTTTGACCGAAAGGTTCTCCATTTTTTTCTATGGACCCCAAAAAATTTTTTGAAAAGACAGGAAAATTTTCTTCTGAAAAGAGACGGGCAGGGCCGGGCCCTGAAAATTCTGAAAAAAGCCCGGCCCGGCCCGTTGCAAGTATGCTGTGAAATATTCTATCAATTTTTCTCAATCGCTTTTTTTTCTCAATTCGGCCTCATTCCTTCTGTTTCTCAATATTCCTTCGTTTTTTTCCTCCCAATTTTCCTCAATTTTTCTCTTTTTCTCAATTTTCGTGGTAATTGGAATTTTTCTCATTTTTTTCATAATTTTCTAGATCATTGCATGAAAAAAAAACAATACTATTTAGGTATTTACACACAAAAATTAAAAATCAAAAAATTGGCCCAAAATGAACTATTTCTTTTCAAAAATTGTTCGTACAGGCCATAAAACATTGCAAAAATTATAAAATTGATTTTTTTTTTCAATTAATTACCACGAAAATTTGAGCNNTTACCTGNAATTAGTCTGAAATTCAACTGGTGTGTGACCTAGGTCATTTTAACACGGGGGCCTAATTTTTGAGTTTTTAAGACCAGAATCTAGCATGGGCTAGAAATGGTGAAATTTAGACTACCCGATCCGCTATGGTGGCCTGAAAAATTCTTCTATCAAAAGTTAGGCCAAGTTTTCAGCCAATTCGCCCATGTGGTCATCGCCGCTATCCAATGGATGAAATGTCTTGCTCTGTTCTCTGCACCAGCCCTACACGCCATTTTT